CCAGCTTTTCTTTGTAAAAACTTCAATTGAAATTCAATAAAGTTAAAGGCATGGCCTCACCGGTAAAATTAAAAAAAAAAAAAAAAAATTATCCTTTTAAGCAAGTATCTCACAAATTGAATGCAGAGATGTTAGTACTGATTATATTAGGAGATGTAAGAATGTTGATGCTGCTTTAGTCTAAAGAACTTATATGTACAATCTTTTTATAACTATAACCTTCTGTAACAACTGCTTGTTACACATAGTGCTTATATTCTATAATTAGATCTTCTTTTAAAAATTTCTATTTCTGTTATTGTACTGCACTTGGACTTAACTACAGAACTTTACATTCAATTACAGACTTCTTATTAGATTACAGAAGCTAAAATCTTTTAATTTTGCCTTTAGCCAAATTTGAACCGTTGACCTTAACTGTAAAGAATATAAAAGCTTAACCACTAAGCTATAGGACTCACATCCTATACATTATATTATTAATATTATTATAATCTTTATAATAAAATATTACCTTTACAATATTGTTCTTAATTAAAATATATACAACAAAATTTTTATAAGTTATATAGAACTTGTAAAAAACAAAGCCAAACTTAGTTATACAATCTCTATTAGCACATTACTTCACCTTTAGTTATATATTTATATATATATTTTTTAAATATTAATGATAAGATCATGCCTTTAACTTTATTGAAATTCAATTAAAGTTTTTATAAAGAAAAGCTTGCTTTTAAATTACATATAAATAATAAAGACTCAGACATATAATCTGCGACCTAAACCTACAAGAGTGGCCAAAGCTCACCTAGATTTAGGTTTAAGTAATAATATAAGAGAGAAGGGTATAGTATTTAATTCATTGAATAGTCCAAAGATTAATTTTAGTAATAATTTGTGGTATTGAAATAGAAGGTAAGGATAGACTAGAAGAATGACTATAAGTTGAATTAGTAGAAAATATAGTCTAAAACTGTGCAGAATGTAAAATACAGTATGGAATCCATATTTGTTTGTATATTTGTTGGTTTGAGTAAAGAAAAAATTTGATAAAAAGAGTAATAGCAGTATGATAAGAGATAGAAGCATTGTAGATAGTAAAAATAAGATCAATAGAAACTAGACCAGATAGAGTAGAAATAAAAGAAGATATATATAAAGAGTTATGCAATTTGAAACTGTTAAGTGTAAAGATTTTAGTATGTAAATCAGAAACAAAATTGGCAGGCATATCAAGATTAGTTGAATTTAAAATACTATTAAAAGAATTAGATATTAAGTAATAACTTGTTTGGGTTGATGAACAAATGACTCAATGGAGTGAAAAGCTAGTTTGATTACATTGATAACAGAAGAAAGGAAATGAAGAATTACATTTATGAAGAGTATGAGAAACAGGAAGTTCATCTGTAAGGATTTTAACTTGAAAAGTTTTTAGAGTAGATGAGTAAAAGCTATAAGCAAAGTTGAAAATTTTTTGATTGTTATTGATGTAGAGTCATATAGCTTCTTAGTTAATATTAGATGCAATAGTAGACCATTGTTAAAAACGATGTTGAGATTTTCAAAGTGTTATAATATAGACTTGGCATATAGTTCAAATAGAGTATCAGATAGGAATTTCAATAGAAAATTTATCAATAAAAGAAGTATAGTTGAGGTTATAAAAATTATTAGTTAAAAATGTTAGATAAGACAATATTTGATAATTACAAGCAAGTTGATCAGCAAGGTTGTTAAATGAATCATCTTAGTGTGCAATAACTTTATAAAAAGTAAGTTGAATTTCATAAGACTTAATAAAGTTAATAAGTGTTTGCCAAATAGAGAAATATAGAGTATAAGTATGAGAAAGAGTAGATGCTAATTGACAGATATTATGATATTTAGAGATTACTGATTGTAAGTTAGTGAATATGTGAACAGAGCAATGTCTAGGAGCAGTAATAATTGCTGAGAGAATAGCAATAATTTTAGCTTTGAAGGAGCATGGTCACAGTTTAACTTGTGCTTAAAATAAATTAATAGTTGTAAAGTTATTAACTTGAACCCAACCTTTGACCATAGAGCATTGTGAGATATCAAAATTAATAACAGAACCATCAATGTAGAATGAAATAGATAATAGATTGTGATTTGAGTTAGTGATAGAATGAAGATTATTAACAAGTTGGATGTTTTAAAAATAGAAGATAGTTGTTATAAATTAATTGTAAGTAAAGAAGGAGGTGAAATATATAAAGGATATTGAAGAGCAACAGAATATGCAATATCAAAAAAGTTTGCATAAAGGTTAAGAGTTTTGTCAGGATTGATGTGACAAAGCAGTTTAGTAGCCAAGTTAGTAGAAATAAAAATGGTATATTTGTTAGCAATTGTATTTGAATTAAGGTAACATTTAGTACATAATGTAGTAGTAAAGAGAGAAGTAGAATAAAGATTAGAGAACTGAAACTGAAATGAGCAGTGCTAGTAGTTAATAAGAGTAAGATCAGTAAATGTATTATGTCTTCTGATCTTGCTAATAATTATTTGGTTATTAAGAACAGTAAGTAACCAAGATTTAGTGTTAGAAGTGAAGTAGTCAGTAAAGTAACAGAAGTAGTTTATAGAAAGTAAATTATAATACTTATATAAAGTGTGTTGGTAGGAGTGACTTGTAGTAATATTCTCAAGAGTAGTAAACTATTATGATATAACACCTTTTGGAATTTTGTTAAGTCTAAGTAAAATGTGTTGCTAGTGCAAAAGACATGAGTTGTTATAAGTTGTGAGTTGGTTCAAAAAAAGAAGTTTATGATGTCTGAGTTGTTTTTTAAAAATAGAATATTTTGGATAAGAAAAAAGAAGAGATTTAAGAGATATAGTTCTATCATTTAGAATATATAGGATATTGTAGATTAGGCTAGTTGAAAAAATCCAACCTATATGTTTAATAAGTTGTATTACAGTTATATCTGAGTTATATCCCCCCTTTTTTCTAGAGTATTTTTGAGGATATAACTGAGATGGGGATATAACTAAGATATAATCTAAATTAAGTATATATAGTCACATGATATCAAACTAATCAGAATTTAAATTTTTAAATAAGTATACATTATTGGGCAAAAATTGTTGAATAACGGCAATTTGGCAAATGAGTATGTGCTGCTTTGCAGCACATGTAGCCAATTATTTGCCAAATTACTGTGTTCGACAATTTGTCCAATAATAGTATTATCTGGCAATTTATGATCATGATTGATAAAGAGTTGCTCACTGAGTTTTATTTTTTGAATATTGAAATAACATAATTATATCATAACACATGAAAAAAATAACAAAAAGATATTTTTTCATGATCATATGAATTTGCCAGATAATATAAATTTATTTAAATAAAAGAAAAATAATACTAATAAGTTAAATAGCTATGCAGTAAATATAATTATTATATTATTTAATTTATAAATATCTTTTAAGAATTAAACATTTTATTTAATTGTGACTAATATATATCTTTATTTATATTATATGTAATTTATTTAATATATATAATAACATATTAATTTTATTGATTTATAAAATATTTGTCAATAGTTGATTGCTTATAATTAGATCGATAAAAACTTTCTGTTTTTTTAATAATTTGTCACAGCAAATAAATATCATTCTTAGTAGCAAATTGTGATTGCTCAAGATATTTTTTTGCTACTTCTAATGCTTTTTTTCCCTCATTATATGAAACTAAATCATCTATAATTTCTTTCTCCTCTTCATCATCAGCTTCATTATTTGAATCTTTATTATTAATCAAACCTTGCTCTTTAAGAATATTTTAAACAATGGACTCTTCAGTTGGTATATTCATTATTTGCAAATGCTTATCTACTTCTACATATTCTTCGGCTGATAATTTAATATAATCATATGACATTTCTAATTCTTCTAATAACTGCTCAAGTTCATCGAAATTATTATTATTATTTGTATCAGTAGTTAAATTTATCTCTAACAGAAGTATTTTTGTTTTCTTCCAACAGTGAACAATTGTTGATGACAATACTTGTTTTCAAGCATCAGAAATCATATAAATAGCTTCTTTTATATTGATTGGTTCAATTGATTTTTCACTTTCTACTTCATTTATCCATTTTGTTACTAGTAATTTATGATAATTAACTTTGAAATTTTTAATAATACTAGCATCACATAGTTGAATAACTGATGTAATATTAGGTGGTAAAAATTTTAATTTAATATTTTGCAATTTAGGGCTTGAATATGCACTACAATTATCAGTTAAAAGAATTGTAGACTGATTAACTTGACTATTTAACCATTTTAATCAATCTTCCTATTTTTTTCCCATTATTCATGCTGTTTGATTGTTTGAATAATGTATAGGTAATTTTGACATATTAGTATATTTTATACACTTTGGACATGCACTTTTGCTAATTACAAATGGTTTAAATTTTTGAGTTCCTGATGCATTACAGCAAAGAAGTATAGTAAGACATGACTTGTCTTTTTTATATTCTTTAGCAGTATCATTTTTAGATGCAAGTGTTTTATTTGGTCCAAGATGAAAATAAAGGCCTGTCTTATTAGCATTAAGAATATTATCAAGATAATAATTATTAAGTAATTCTTGAAAATGGCATCGTCTACTTTCAATTGCAGCTTTATTAGCTGATTCACTTTCTCCAGATATGGTCTTTGAACTAATACCAAATCTTTGTTGAAATCCAGATACCTAACTATTAGATGCCTCAAATGTAGTTAGAAATTCTATACCACTATTTTTTAATTGTTCATATATTGAAAGTGCTTTTGTTTTAAGCATATTCTGTGAAACAGGAACATTATGAGAATGTAGTTCTAAAAATAACTTATAAACAGCCTTATCAATAATATGAAACTGTCTATTTTGTAAGTGAACATGTTGTTGTATATAAGCAGATGTAGTATTATATAACTGAAGATGATTATTTTTATCTCGCAAAATATTGCTTATTGTAGATCTATCAATATCATATTCTTTGGCCAAATCTGTATAAGTTAAGTTCTTATTTTCTTCTTTCCTTTTAATAATCTTAACTTTTTTCTCTAAAGTAATAACAGATCCTTCTTTTCACTTTTTACTAAACTCTGCAACAGACATTTGTAATAAGATTAAGCGATATTAATAGATGAGCCTAAAATTTTTTTTTTTTGTACTTTTTTTTTAGTATAAGATTTTAAGATACTTTATATGTATTATATAACTATTTAATAATTAATATAAATTAAGAATGTTATAAAACAAAACAGGATTATTTTTTTTTATAGAAAATAATTAACTGCTATATAAGGTTTGGATAATATATAAAACTAACACATTCTTGATTTTTTTTTTTTTTGTTTTGTCATATATATCAGGCACAGTATATAATTTTATATAACTAAAACCAAAACTTGTTAAAAGGTATGTAGTTATATTGTTTGTATTTGTAACCAAAAAATTTCTAGTATGTAGTATATGAAAATTAGAATATGTATTATTATGTATACTATAGAATCTGTAAGTTTGTAAAGATGATTTTTTTTTTTTTTTTTAGTTAAAGTCCCTATCTTGGGAGTTGCGATTTTTTTATTCAAGTATATTAGGACACAGCATGCCACCAAGGGCTCACCTTACATTAGAGGTTACAACTAGCCACATGTGCACTTTTGGTGCCTAATTTAAGTAG